AAGTATTACAAAAACTAAGAGATGCAAGACTCTATGCCAAAATAAAAAAGTGTATATTTTATACTACTCAAGTCGAATTCTTAGGATATATCATTTCAAATGATGGACATATGATGGATCCTAAGAAAGTTCAAACTATTATACATTGGAAGATCCCAAAAATGGTAAGAGATGTCCAATGCTTTTTGAGATTTGCCAACTACTATCAGATCTTCATCAAAGACTTCTCTCAAGTTGCAGCTCCACTTACATGTTTGACTTGCAAAGGCAAACTTCAATGGAATTAAGAAGTAGAAGTAGCATTTGAAGCTTTGAAGATAGCCTTTGTTTCTACACTAATCTTGTATCGTGTCGATTTTTTTATGCCATTTTTTATAGAAACAGACGCAACAGACTTTGTTTTGGGTGTCCTATTGTCACAAATGAGAATAGATGATAAACTTCACCCAATAGCTTTTCATTCGAAAAAATTATTAGTAGCCAAAATCAACTACGAGATCCACTACAAAGAACTTCTTGCAATCATGGATTCGTTTCAAGAATGGCACTATTATCTAAAAGGTACTTTTAGCTCAGTCACAGTATATATGGATTACAAGAATCTTGAATATTTTATATCAGCTCGTGTTTTGAATCGTCGCCAAGCCCGTTGGAGTATGTCTTTGTCAAGATTCGAATTCAAGATCACTTATCGACTAGGAAAATAAAAAGGTTTGTCAAATGCACTCTCTAGATGATCTTATCTCGCACCAAAAGAAGGAGATGCTACTTTTGATCAACAATAGATAATTCTCTTAAAGCCAGAGCATCTTCATTTTTGAGCAATGAAATCAATACTAACTGTTGTTTCAACTTTCATTAAGCAAGTTCAGTCAAGTATGTCTTCTGATCCTCTTATTTGTGATATGAAGATAAATCCTTCAAAGTCTCATGATACTTCCAAGTTTGAATTCAAGAAGAATCTACTATATTTTGAAGGATGCCTACATGTTCCAGAAGGTGAAGCTCGATTACGTGTTCTTCAAGCTCGTCATGACTTTTCAGCAGCATGACATTTTGGGTACAATAAAACTTTGGAACTAATATCCAGGGACTTTTGGTGGCAACAAATGTGGAAAGTAGTTAAAGATTTTGTATAATCTTATAATATTTGCTCAAGATCAAAAACTCCTCGTCATCGATCTTATGGACTTCTTCAGCCATTACCCATTCCAAAACAATTATGGTCTTCTATTTCTATGGATTTCATCACGAAACTCCAATCTCAGGTTCTTATGACTCTGTATTCATGATAGTAGATCGTTTTATCAAGATGGCACATTTTGTACCATGTACAAAATCTATCACAGGTGAAGAAACAGCTAAGATCTTTTTTGACAATATCTATCGCTATCATGGATTTTCGAAGGATATTATATCAAATAGGGGAACTCAATTTGTATCAAGATTTTGGCAGACTCTTTTCAAGATTCTAAAAGTGGATATAAAACTATCTTCGACATTCCATCCTCAAACTGATGGACAAATGAAGCGTGTTAATCAAATTTTAGAGCAGTATTTAAGATGTACCATTAACTACCAACAAGATGATTGGACAACTCTTTTGCCATTGGCAGAGTTTGCTTACAATGACACAGTACATTCTTCTACAAAAAAAATACCTTTCTTTGCTAATTATGGTTATCATCCACGACTTGATACTTTTGACTTTTTAAAAGTTGATAATCCTGCTGCAAAAGATTTTACAATTCATTTGTCAGAGCTACATGCAACGATAAAGGCGTAGTTAAAAGAAGCTCAAGAACAATAAAAGATCAATGTCGATGTCTATCGAAAGGAACAACCACCATTCCACATGGGTGATAAGGTATAGTTACTTTGTTGCAATATCAAGACCACTCATCTTTGTAATAAGTTAGACTATCAAAGGCTTGGACCATTTTCTATTTTTGCACAAATTAATCGAGTTGCATATCGTTTACATCTATCGAAGTCAATGAAAATCCATCTAGTATTCCACGTGTCTTTTCTTGAACCATACACGATAGTGGACATACCAAGAAGAAGTCAAGCTCCACCTCTTCCTATAGAAGTAGACAATAATGAAGAGTTTGAAGTGGAAGAAGTCTTAGATTTAAGGCGACGCCAAAATAAATTAGAATTGGCATAGATATGATATTAGTGAATGTATATGGGAGCTAATAAAGAATCTTGTAAATGCAGCAAAGGTGGTGGAGGCTTTTCATTGACGACATCCATTAAAATCAAGATGAAAATCTTCCTTCTATAAGAAACAAGATCTAGGCAAGATAACATTCTACTTTCAATCCTTGTTTGTAGCTTCTTTGTAGTTGTGACTCTCAGGAAATAGAGAACCAACAACGAGCGGATTTGACTCAAGAGCCTTCGTTTGTTAATCTGCTAGACAAGACATTATGATTGTCACAACCTCCAAGATGACGCAATCGAGATGAAGATCTTCAAGAACGATATATTCTTCTTCGAATAGATGGCGAGATACAACGCGTTTGGTATCACGACCTTAGAAGGGACTCTCGATTTTTGGTGATTTTACTAGAGGTAGAAACAATTCCTGATGGTGTTCCAAATATTTTATTCGAAAGAAGTTATGAAGGCCTCAACAATGATCAAATAACTGGGTGGTCTTCCCGCCCTGGTATGGGGCACTATCGATGGTTGAGAGGCCTTATCAATCATCTTCGAAGAGAACAAAGATCAGAGTATGTGGCGAATATAATTTATCGCATCATAGATTTTCTCAACATATGATTACCACTCTTCGTGGAACTCGTCCCTAGAAGGGGGAGGTAATGTCATGGACATATGCATGTAAGCCAATAATTACATATATAAATAGGTAGAAGTAAGTAAAAATAAATAAAAATAAGTTAATTCTATAGTATTTGATATGGAAGCTTCTTAGAAGCTTTATAGACGTTGCTTTGACTTTATAGGTATCTTTAATTGACTTTTTGGGATTAAAAACGTGGTCAACAAGTTGGCCATGTGCCACACATGTTGTTAGCTTGAAGACCAAGCTAACTATGTGGCCTACACATAGAAAAACTTGCCTTGTAAGTCAATGCATGTGTCCTGCAAAGTCAACACATATTGGAGGTCCTATAGAACATCGCCACGTAGCCCCTAGTTAGATAGTATATATAGAGATAAGAGTGAAGCCTTCTTCTCTCTTGTCAACTACTTTCTTGCTTCCAGTCTAGTTTCAAGGGTCTCTAGTTTTCTTGACTTTTGGCAATAGTCATTCTAGTTTCTTTCTTAAAATATATATCAAGTTATTTCTATTTTGTCATCTTTCTATGAGAGAAGTCTCAGTTGTTTATTTGTCTTTATCATGTTCTTATCTTTGACAAATATTGAATAATATACTTAGCTTCTCTACAATATAGGTACAAATTCTTATAATGCCATGAAGTTTTTTTTATTCATTGAGAGATTTAAAATGTATTGTATTAATTTGCATTGGTTCCAATTTTGATGAATAAGTTTTTAGAAACTTAGGAGTTTTTGTCATTATTTGATTTTTTCTCCTTCTGCCAATTTTTTTTTGTTCTTCATGGCTTTCAAATAATTGATTGTTGTTTGTAATAGATTGAGCAATAAATTGTTCTTAAGAATGTGGTTTCAATATTGTCAATAGTAATTCTTTGACGTTATCTTTTAATCCATATCAAAATTGATTGATAAAGACTTTATCATTCCAATCCATGTCATAAGCAACAATTTAGAATTTAGCTACATATATAGTGGCTAATCATGAGTCTTGGCATAAAGATAAGAACTTAGTCTCTATTGCTCTTTTTCAATCATTTTTTTCAAATATGGTCATAAATACTTTTAGCAATGAAATCAAATCATGAAAGAATCGTGAATTATTTTGCATCAAAAGTACAAACCAAAAGAAAGAACTTCTACAAAATGGATAATTTAAAAAAAATAGTGTTTAAAAAATAAATATTAGTTCAAAGTGGATAATTTGTACTATTTAAAATACAATATTAGAAATAGAATAGTTCTCTCACTTCTAAAAACAAGAGAAGAATAATAAATTAGCATTCTTCTCAATCTATTAAAGGCAAGAACTTAAAAGAAGATACATAAACAAATGAGATGAGTATTAAATAGAGTTAACAAATGATTATAAGAAAGTATATATATATATATATTCAAAAAGAAATTGGAATGACTATTACTAAAGATTAAAAAACTAAAGACTCTTGAAACTAGACTACAAGAAAAAAAAGAATTGATAAGAGTGAAGAAAATTTTACTCTTGCCTCTATATATACTATCTAAATAAGAGCTATGTGACAATGTTAAATAAGACTTCTAACATGTATTGACTTTGTTAAATACATGTCTTAACTTGCAAGGCAAGTTTTTTATATGTGCACTACATAGTTAGCTTATTACATATGATTAATTTGTTGATTAAGTTTCTAACTTATTAATCAACTACAAAAATGTATAAAGTCAAAGTAGTGATTATGAACCTTCTAAAAAGCTTTTTTAGAAGATATTATGAAATTAATTTATTTTTATCAACATTTATTTAATCACATAAATAATTATTGGAATAAATATGTATATTTGTAACACATCATTGTTTCAAATTTTAATGAAATGATCAAACCATTGCACCAAGAAGCCTCGCATTAATAATAAGTCTTTATTTATTCATGTTCATCATTAAAGCCTAATCATAATATAGTAATTGTCCAATCATGATATAGTAATTGTCTAATCATGATATAGTAATTGATGCACATATAGAGAACAATATGCACATATAGCTTGCATAAATTGAACAACCAAGTTGAAAAATCCTAATATTGCTTGCTTACTTGTTAGCTGATCCAAATTGTGATATTTGTTTTCTAATGATCTTTGAACACATTGTTACTAAAGTAAAGGGATTATAAGCAACACAGCATGACATGGAATCACATAGAATGCAAATATTGAAACATTCAAGCTCTATAAATAAATCAACTTGTATTGAAGGATACTTGATGCGGCACTACATGGTTGCAATCCAAATTCAATGACTGCAATTGGAAGGTCACAATCGAACTTCTTTCATGCAAGATACAACTTGGGAGGTTAGATTCTATCGAAGTAAACCTGTGAGTTATGAGCTTCTACACATCATGCCAGAGAGCGGTGCTGCATCACTTTTTCCAATTTTGACGAACCACCTGTGGTTCAGAATGGCACCAAAAACAGCTTGTAATGCACCCATCGTCGTTTGTGCAATTCCGGACCACTGAAAAAGTCAGCAGGCAAGTCATCATCTAGCTTCACACGATGATTTCATGAATCTTCATTCCAAGGTAAAACTTCAGATGAAAATGTCAAAGCTATGCACTGTTTGCCACCAGACCCTCATGCTCATGACCCCATGCTTGGGGCCACCACTTGGGTCGCACAGCTTTCACAAGAATATCATGTTGGTTCTCGATACACAGCTGGTTGTTGCCTTCTCTTGCAGACTCTAGCCGTATCATGCCCAGCGCTCTTGGACCAAGCACCGTCGATACTTTACCAACTTTCTTTCCAATCCTTTTGTCTAGAACTTCCGCACCAACTGCAACTGCCGCTTGTGCCTCTGCATAAATGAGAAGAAGGTACAACAGTGAGAAAAGTCCTTTATCACATTCTATATGCATATTACTTATGTGTCACATTTGTCGTGAACCGCGAACACCTACACTGAAGCTACCGAAAATTTTCCGGCACAGTATCTTGTGATTCTTCTTATATTATGCCGACCAATCATTGCCGACTCCCAAGTCCTTCCACAATCTCAATATGAAGCTGTAAGTGAAACTCGCTGACACAATACACGACATCTGGGTGCTGAGCAGCATTTACTCATGGTGCATGAATGGTTAAGTGCTACAACAAAACAACCAAGCGCACGCCTATTAAGGAACTCAAGCAAAACGAAAGAAAGTACGACTAACCTTTTCCATTCGTATCGGTGAAGCTCAGGGGCATGAGTCGCTTGCGAATGACACCTCGATGATGGGTACGGGCGACAAGTTCCTGGCCTACATAACATCCTTTGTCGAAACTGATCGCATTCAGTCCCGCCAGATTGTACTCCAGTGGTATAGCCTCCCCTGAAGTACCAGATCACCAACTTACGTCCATCAAGGGCCACTTCATGGACCTATAGTTGCTGACTGATTGTAAAGTTCACCATCTAAGCATCTGAACGAAAATATAAACATGGACAGAAAACCATGCACAAACCGGATTTTAATGCGAGGAAGTTAAGTTACAATCAACTATAAAGACGTTGTCATACAGAAATCCAAGAGATCCATAAAGAAAATCACAGCACACCTTTGGGAATCTCAGTGGAGCCTTCCGCAACCCCTTGCTCTAATCTCCACAAGAGGTAGTAGTCTTCTTCCACCTCAGTGTTGGCTTCGACCAAAGGTGCTACAAACCCAAATGTTAACCAATTATCAGCACGTAGTGTAGGGCGATGAAAGCGATTACAAACATACGGATACTTACCAAGTATATTACTGCAAACAATAATCTCCAAATCTGCTTTATGTATGAACGTTTAAGACGGATACAGCAATACCTACAAATACTGCCTACATAACATACGACCAGAGAAGCTATACATGCATGGGAGTTTCAATAACTTCAAAATTATGTTTGCAAAGCACAGAACAACTTCAAAACAAAACATGTGACATAAGTGAAGCTATAAATAAAGATTTGCTTGATAATGAATACTTCGATCCCATGGTAGATCCTTACGTGGAGTATGTTTCGAGAAGAGGCCCCGCAGTCCAAGGGTGCTCAGTCGTGGGTCCTTGTACCAGCGCCATTGATTATCATTAACTAAAACTGAACTTGAGGCACTCTCATCCTTGGTGCCTCCATACCCAATCGCTCCACCCTCTGACTCAGTTGTGTTACTTGGATGCTCTGCTAATTTTCCTCCATAGTATTGCCAAACTGAAAGATCTTCTGAGATGTCGTGAACTTGCACTTTCTTCCGTAAAATGTGCCTGTAAGCAGGGAGTCGCAATAATAAGAACAAAACCTCTATTCTGTATTACAAAGCTATATAGCTTGATGGAGGGGACTTCAACTAAATATATCAGCGAAGAAACGCTAGACCAAAAGAAAAATAAATAAAATGCTCGACCCCCAAAAATATGCATGGAAAGATTGATAACATTGAACGAAGTGTATTCATGTGTGTTGTAGAAATCAGGTTCCATTGTAGAAAGATCGGTACTCACGATTGAGCAGCCAGGAGTAAGCGTCAAATGACTTAACACGATCTTGTTTTTCTCAGAAATCAGAACATTGGGCATACAACAGGAACAGAACAGAGATGAGCAATTCATAACCGAAAGAATGATGATACACATGCGTTTAAATCTGTGATCCTTCATTGTTTTTGTGCACAGTAGTTACCCATGAGAACAAGAAAAGAACCTTGTTTTTCGACCACCTAAGATATTAACAGGAATGAAAGGTCTGGGAAGTAGCCAACTGCAACATGAAGATTCTAGGTAAAACATACTTAAAAATCAGAGAGGATGAAGGAAAGACGCACTTCTTCAAGTAGGTAACGAGCTCGACAGCAACGGCAGAGTCGACATCAGCCAACAAAACAGGCGCGTTCCGGCTCTCTCCAGGACCAGATCCAGTACGATCGAGCTTCTCCTCCTCCACATTCGGTTTGTACAAGAATAAATCATAAAGAAACCTCCCCTGAGAATTTAGCATTGCAGTGTACATTGGCGGATGGTAAAGAATGGAGGCATTAACTGAAGGCGGGGATGTCCCACCAGAAGGGCTGTCCTCGAACTTCTTCACGTCATTCGTGATTAAACCCTGCAGGAAATTGAGCACATCCGGCCCATCAAACCTAATCACTGTTCTGGTCTTCAGCTTCGACGCATACGGACCCTTGGAAGCTAATGGGGTGTCCCCTGAGGTTGAACCCTCTGCTGAATTCCCATGAATCCCGGCTACTCGCAATATCGATGCGAAAATAGTACGCAGTCCTGTTGCGGCATTGTGCTTGGAAGGAGGACATAATGCAGTTGAAATCACAGCGCGCCGTCCCGCGAGCATTTTGCTAAGTCGTCTTCTACCCTTTAGGTTAAAGTACGGCTCCACTCTCTGCTCAAGTACCAGCCAACGACCTCGAACTTCTGACGCGTTGGCTGACGCAACTCGAAAATAAATCCAGAATCTTGGCGACCAATCTTGGCGATTGTGAAAAAAATTGCAGTATAAACACAATATCTAGATTCACCAGACGAATGTCTACCTTGTGCACCCTGCAAACTCCAGCACGAACTCAAAATAGCTGTCAACTTCCAAGACCTTCCTCTTTCGTTTCAACCTAAAACCTCACACAATACCTCTAGGTTCAACAATTGAACGAGAACTCACAATTCACAAATTTACACACATGTCAAGGAGTGGCAGACTAATGCTTGGTTCCCAACGGCGCTCCCCGCAAAGACGTCCTTTGGGTGTTGGCACATTCAGCTGACTGCCACTTGGACTTCGAATACGAGAACCTCGTACAGCAACTGGGACAAGAGAATGGGGTTTCCGATGACTCATCACAAATTCAGTTGCCACCGAAGCCCTTCTCTTTCCGGATAACTTTCTTCATACCGCATGCTACCAAACTTATCATTCCTTAGGGTTTTAATGTGTGACATGACATGACGACTACGCTGCTCCAACTATTGTGTAAGGACTTCCAAAGGTCATGATCGCCTACTCTTGAGAATTAACCTTCCGGAGCAGCAAAGAGCCTGCTCATGGAGTAAGAGACTCATGCCGCCTTTGCCATCTCCGGACTGTAGTTCTGGGCCGAGTTGATTTGGTGTTTGAGTCCATTAGGGGAACGATTATAAAGATGACATGGGGAGCGCGAGTGAGGACCATGAAGGGAAAGGAAGAGGCATGACAGTGGAGAGAAAGGAAATGGAGAGTGGCAGAGGCGCATCCATTGTGACGGGGCATTATTGTTCTGCACATACCTTTCCTTTCACCTTCCTCCCCCTTTCTCCCTCACCGTATGCCTCTCATGTTTCTAGCATGTGCACTGTCAAAATGCCACAGAATCGTTTCTTTACTAGCTTAAGTCCCCATGTGTTTGCGAGCTTCTCCTCGCAGCCGGAACTTTTCTGATCGTCTAATCGCATAAGTGTCACCGAAACAAAGCAAATGAAACAGTTTTCTGAACTGGTCGGCTTCCACGTGCAAGCATTGCACACACATGCAGCGCTACGGAAATACACCTTAGCCTCTTATGGCTGAAACAGCAGTAGACACAGAACCAGTGATGGATTGCAAAGGGTAAAGAGAGCTACAGTTCAAGCTTGAGGAGACGGGTAGCACACTGCGATGGACGCCCAGCAGAACAAGGCGCGGAAATGCTTGGAATCAGATTCCATCTCAGTGGAGCAAGACTCGGCTCCAACAACATGTTGCCAAGAAGTCGTCATGGATCCTCAGCTATGGAGTTTCTTCCCTGAAGATTTAGTGGACAGAGTGCTGGCCTGGTTGCCTTTGTCGAGCATCTTTCGGTTGCGAGCGGTGTGCCGGACATGGAACATCATTACCCACACCCGAGGATTCGTGGAACTGTACGCGCTAACGCCTTCATCGAAGGACGCCTGGATCCTGATTTTCGCTGATCGGGGGTATAGAGTTGTCTCCGCTTACATCCCCACGCAGAACAAATGGCACAATATTCCGCTCTCGTTCCTCCCATTTGACATCTCTGACGTGACAGTCGCAGGTGGATTGCTTGTGTTCCGGCTCCACGAAGCAAATGGGGGTTCTAGTGTATGCGTTTGCAACCCCGTCACTAGCTCTTGGCGGAAGCTGCCTCCCATGCTCGGCGGCTGGCGCGATGGCCTCCTTGGTCTGGTCATTGACAAACAGACTTGTGCATACAAAATCATAGTGCGGAGTAACCTAGCCTCCGTGAACAGCAATGGCGCCGTGTTGCGCACCGAGGTCTACGACTCCACAACCAACCTGTGGATTTGCACCAACGGCCTCGAGGACGGGATCACCACAGGATATGCCTATTGCAAAGGTGTGCTGTACTTCATGACCTGGGAAACTCGCAGTGGCGTTTATGGAGTTTACGCTTACAACCTCGAGCAGGGAACGTGGAGCAAAGTGCATGTGCCGATCCCGGATTTCATGACTTGCCCTCATGTGGTGGAATGCCAGGAGCGCCTTCTCATGGTTGGAGGCTTTGGGAGGTAACAAAGCCCGCAAATCCTAAACCCTAATTCACACCAGTCGAGTGAATTCGGTTGCCTGCTCGCCCACTCCGTTTAGAAATTTGTTGTAGAGGTGAGCTTCTTTTGGTACTGTATGGCCATCTATCAAACCATGAACTATATGCAGTTGTCATTTCAGGAGGCCGCACTTCGTAACGGAGGGTATATGTGTGTGGGAGCTGCAGCCTCCAACGCGGGACTGGGTGGTGGTGCAGAACATGCCTGAGGGGTTGTTCAGGGATCTCCTCAACAACTCCAGCCTCTTGTCGTTCAACTGCGTTGGTCACGGCGATCGAATCTTCTTGAGCAATCGCAAAACCCCCCGGTTAATTGTGATCTTTGATTGTGCCGACAATTCATGGCAATGGGTTAATTCCTGCGTCTCCCATGACCTCCACCCAATGTATTCCTGGTTCTCGTATTACCCTCGACTGGATGCAGCCCTTTAGCAGGTGCAGCACACTCTCTGCTATATTGCATTCTATCATGACGCAATGAGGATGCTGGAGGCGAGACTTCGTACAACGGAACGATTCCTGCACAAAATCTAATCGCTGATTTGCATGCCTAGAACAGCTAATGGCGATTCTGGGGCCTATATTTGCAACAAAACATTGAATGGAACAATGAAAATGATTCAGAACACGCGACAGACGTAAAAGGTTATCCCTGGAATGCAAGATAAGAATCCGAAGGTGACCGAGGAAAGCCAAAAGAGAAAATTGCTTCTATTTCTCATTACCGTACAAAAAGCTCCAAATACGGAGAAAGAAGCAAATTTAACTGTAAGATAAGATATTCTTCAAACGTGCGATCGAACTTCCCACTGGTGTCCACAAGCGCACTGATCCGCTCAACCTGCCTTACAGCGGTCCTTGCTTCGGACAAATTCCTGAAATGATGATTAGGGTAGCACTTCAGTACACAACAGCATGTAACGCCACCAATAACCGATACAGCTGTTAATTACTGACACGGTGAGAGGTTCTAAGCTCGTGAAAGAAACCCAATTCAGATGGTTTATACCATCGGAAGCCATGTCTATAAAGTTATATCTGAAGCACAGCATGTGCTACACAAGGTTCACAACCCTCATCCCAGGCAACATTCACACGTAGTTAAAGTGATCCTTGTTGATTCATATGCTGTGCATCCTGAGTCACAACACTTCGACACAAGGTTCACAACTCTCATTCTAGGCAACATTCACACGTAGTTATAGTGATCCTTGTTGATTCATATGCTATGCATCCTAAGTCACAACTCTTCGTCTTCAGCCGAGTGACGGTTGTTATGTTGATTCATATGCTATGCATCCTAAGTCACAACTCTTCGTCTTCAGCCGAGTGACGGTTGTTAGCAGCACACTGCACAGGCAGTACTTTCTCAAGGTTTTCGTCAGTAATGCGAAGCATTGCCCAATTCCCGAATGGTGAGTAGGGTTTGGTCACAGAGCAACTCGACGTCGTCGGACAACTTGTGAAACCGGTGTCGATTTCTTTGTGGTTTAGGTGACGATGGGAAAAGCGATGAATGGTGCTTCGCGTACATCCGAAATAGCGTGTACCGTCCTGGTTTTGGCTGACACGCTATTTTTGACGCACGCCAAAATAGGTCCCTGAGTAAAGTCCTTGTTTGATAGAACTTTAGTTGTACCATAGGGTGCTTCTCTATATACCTTCCCTTGCATATTTGTGAAATTGATAGGCTTTCAAGAATATTACCACAACTTGAATGTTTTTTCTCTGATTTCAATCTCATGCTCTTCAAACAACAAGGATATCTATTAAATAAACCTATCATTTAATTGAATTATATTTTGATAGTCATTTAAAGGATGCAATGTATTAGGATTAAACTTGTATATTTTAAATTTGTGATTAAACTTGTATATGTTAAATAGTGATTTGTGCTACCAACTATGATATTTTAATTTGTCAAGAGACACTTAATTCTCTTGGTTTATATTTGGGCAATTAGAATAAGGAGGCATAGATTAGATTAGGATGCTCTCCTAGTGATAAAAGAAAGAAATTTATTCTTATGTTGTTTTAAGCAATTGCTATAATTATGTCGACAAAGATTCTATTTTATTACAATGCATTAGCATCAAACTTTGTAGACTAGTTATATTAGAGAAGACATGATATTTATATCCAATTTTGTAGAAAAAAATGGATCACCAGCTTTAAAATTTTCTACAAGACATTGTAAGAATTCATTTCTTCTATAGAAAATACATGAAGAACTATATTAGAAATGCTATGATATTGTGTCTTTATTGAATTTTTTGAAATTATCAAATCATTCATTATTATATGTCTTTGCTTTCTTCATTTGTTATCATCTATCTTTGCCTTGTTAGTATCTACTACTGGCTCAAAGTCTTGAACATGGTCATTTTTTAAGTAATTTGATGATAAAGATTTATAATATTAATTCCTATTTTGTACCATAAAAAAGACTACTTGAATACTTACAACCATTTCTTAGCTTAAGAGTAATTTATACCTATATGTGCACCTTCAATAATTGCTAATCTTTGTAATTCATCAACAATCACTTTTGGATTACTCTAGAGCTAATAAATACTACGTACATGGTGCAAATAAAAGAATTATGTTGGCTATCAATCCAACATCATTGCTTTTGAATATATATTATGTAGAATAACAAATAGACCAACTCCAAAAACCTCCAACAATAATGCTCACAACTAAAAGAAGGTATTAAAGACAAAATCCAAAATGCATCATTATTCCAACAATATATATTTAGAATTTGTAAGTGAATCAAAGTAAGTGATACTTATTTGTAATTAATGGTCATAAGTTGCAAAACTAGTATCAATAAAATAAGATTGCACCAAGGTTCAAAATATAAAATATATATAAAAAAAAGATTAAAACTTATAATGGAAAAAAATAAAATTAAATAAATACTAATTCAATTTTCTAAATGAATCTAATTGTCAAACATATAACAATATTTGCTTTTTTGGAAAAATATTACATAATAATGACTAAAAATATGTCAAGTTTAGATTCTATATGCTCTTAGAATGAATTTCTAAATATTAATGCATAAGAATTAAGGACAATATATATATATATATACATAATATTTTTTTAATATAATAAGCAATTTTATTTTGTTTGATTTTTTTTATAAATTGGTGAAAAACTTATCAATGATCATTCATCTAATAATAGATTATATATGAAAATAGGAACAGATGAAAACATAAAATAAATAGAAATAGGATTGACTTTACTTGTTGTTGTAAGTAGCTTGTATCTATCCCTGCAAAAAATCTTCTTTTGGAACCTAATGCTACTAAATTTAATAACTTATTTCTACTTCTATTCCATAATCCAAATACTTTCATCACATCCACAAATCTTGTGGAGCAAGAAACATCTCTTTGCATGACTCTCATAAGTTGGTGTAATAAAACTCAAGTGAATGCGATTGCATCACTTAGTTTAGATTGTTATGACTGTCTTTGCTTTCCACAACGTCTACAAGTATTTGCCTCATAACAAAACAAAACCATGCATTCATTGTTGTACTTCTCTAACTAACAATTGTTTTAGTACATACATCCACTTCAATCACACATTTGATTTGTTGTTAATTCTAAATCTTGTCATAGATAGTTAGTTTTTTTTTATTTTATTTCAAATAATTTTTTAATAATTTTTAAAAAAAAATCATACAATTTTACCCTGTTAAGCTGATCCGTTATGGCAAAATACACCAATTAAAGCAAAAAACATTATCTAAAGCAACCAACTAATAAAATTTAACAAAAGTAGTTTCTTATCAAGTAGTAATGTACAAATGCAATAAGGATCAATCTGGTAAGCAATGGTGGTTGATATCCAAGATGTCATCCCTTCCTTCTTCTATCACCTTGATAAAAAGCGGTGCACTATCCTTTCACTAATTCTAGTACCTCAATCCTTTAGCATTGCAACCAAGCATCATGTCTCATTAGCTTTTAGTGTTGCATTATATTATAGCACCATAGGAGCAACCAACAAGACAATATCCAAAGACATACAAAATTGTAGAAATAAAATAATAATTCTTATATAACAATCTATAAAAAATGAAGAAGAGAAAATTCTTTATCACCTACTTTATTTTCATTTGTTACCCCACAAAAGTTAATAAAGAGATGATTCTTGTCAAATGAAAGTTGAAGTATCTAAACACCGATAGTTAAATTATCTCTCATACTACAAAGAAAGAATCTAAGAGTCCAAGTATATAGAAAAAACTCTACACTTTTTTTAATGGCTAAGTTACCATATCCAAGAAAAATCATTTAAGAATGAGCTTTCTATCTTAAAAGTATTTATAAGACTCAACTTAATAAGAATGTTAGGTCAATGAGGCTTTTCTACCTAAAACCCTCAAGTCTTAAATGACACTTATAAGGTCAATCAACATAAAATATTAAGTTGATAAAAAATCATTAAATTAAATTAAATAACATTCATCCAATTTGATTTGGTGCTAAATGCCATGTTACATAAAAAATATCTTTAATAATTTAAAGATCATTTTATGATATTTAATTAGAATCTATAAAAAACCAAAATTGGCAAGCAATTTTTTTCTTTTTTAATCCTATTATTTAAATTAGATATAATAATATTTTAATAAAAATAATTTAATTTAAATTAATTTATGTAATATTTTTTACGATTATTTTAAAATATGATACTAAAGAATAATAATAATAAAAGTCTAGAAACAACATTAAAAATAGACTTAAAATTTTTAATGTTTTAAAAATTGGTTTGACATATTTTAAATTTTTCAAATAGTCTTTTTAAGTGTATTTAATAAGTAATTATTAATTTTTAAAATTTAAATTTAAATAAAAAATTATGTACAGAATCAAAATTAAATAGAATTTGAATATTTGAATAAATTTATTTAATTATTTTTATGTATAATGTATATGTAATTTAAAATGAGATGACCTGGAAATAAAATTTAAATTCAAATTTTACGGTTCTTATATATCTAAAAGCCTATTATAAATATTATTTTATTGGTGAAAATAAGTAGATTTTGCAAGTTTCTTTTCTTTTCTTATTTCTTGCAAAAGATGAATGATTATTTAAATTAGGTGTATCTAATTGATTAAATAATTTAATTTAAATAAATTTAAAATTAATTGACTAGATTTTCATTCAAAAAGACACAAGTTACTATAATTTATGATTTTTTAAAATATGAGGTCTACTGTAGAATTTTTTTAAAAATAGGTGTACTTTTAAAAAAAAAATCAAGTTTATTGATTAATATTTTTCTTAAAAATTAAGATACCCACTTTTTAAAGTTAATAATGATTCTTTGCATCAAAAGACTTATTTCAAATTTGAAATTAAAATATTTCTAAAATTATCATCAACAAAATCTTATATATTTATTTTATATTTTCCAACATACAAGAAATCTTATCTTTAAATCTTTGCATTAGATTCAAAGAAGTTACTAAAGTTACAAGTTATATATTTATTTATATATTAATTAAATTTAAGAATAAAGTTAAAGTATTATATTTTTATTTCATTATATTTGATCGATATAATTGGTAATATAATAAAATATTTTAAAATTAAAAAACATACATTAATACTTTAAATATATATATATATATATATATATATATATATATGTTGATTGCATTTCATTATTATGTCCAAAAAATTTAAATTCCAAAACATAGTACAATAAAATTATATTTTGAATATCACTTTGAATAAAATAAAATCTTAATATTTAAAAATATATTAGTAATTTCTCAATTATTTATTAAAATAATTGAATACCTACAATAGATACAAAAATTATATTTTTAGTTTAACTTAATTTGTATAGTATTTATACACTAATAAGAATTTTTATTTATAGTTATATATATTTTTTGTGAAATTTAAATATAAAATTATAATATTATAATTACTATTTTTAAATTTATTATTTTAAATTATTATTTTAAATTATTATTCTTGTATCTGATATTTTTAATTTTTTTTTACAAAATTTTTTTTTTAAAATCGTAGTTCAAATTAAAATACTAATAAAAGAAATACTTACTACTATAAAAATTAGAAAGAACATTAGATACAAGATAAATAATAATAAATTGCTTTAATTATTTTAAAACTTGTAGTAGCAAGACCAAGGTTTTTTTTATATAGACTTATTGTTTATATTATGAAAATTAGGTTCTACAAAAGCTTCCAATAAATATTCTAAAAAATTTAAAATATCTTATTGATATAAAAAATCTATTTTTTAAAAAAAAATGCAAGAGGTTTAGAATGATATTAGATGATCATAAAAAACTAATATTATTTTTAAGAAGATTAAAAAAAATTAAACAACAATAAATGGTTTAAGAAACTTACAAGAAATTTTAGAATGATCCATATATATATATATATATATATATATATATATATATAAAGTGGTACAAAAAATTACAAGACTAAATATGTATTTGCTATTATGATTTATTGTATATTTGTAACAAAACCAAGAGTTCTATTAAAAAAATAGAAATATTTAATTTTCTTATTACTTATAATACAAAATTTTAATAAATATTACTTAAATTTTCATTCTTTATTTGAATTTATATCCATAATAATTTTGTCAATACTTTAATATTATGCATAGTTTTTTTATGTTTTCAATAAGTCCAACAACATACAATAAGAATGTACATTGTACAACTCAAAGTTAATACCAAAATTAAGATTTTTTTTACATATTGATTTATACTATCTCTGTTTTCAGAATATTTGACCATTATTGTATAATAAAATAATAAATATATTTTTTTAATAAAAAAAAAATACATCTTCCAAAAAACCAAAAACACATAAGTTTTATTTTATTTTATTTTTATTTCAAATCAAATAATTTTTCAACACTTACTTTATTCTATTTAACTATTATATTGTCTCATAACATAACATACATGACATACATAAAATAACAAAGAATATAATATCATTTAAAGTAAGCATATATATATATATATATATATATATATTACAGAGCCATTACTAAATTAATTATTAAATTTCTTTCTCTAAGAAGTTGTATTTTAAAAGAAATAATTAATCAATATCCTTGAAACTATGTTTATATTTTTTAATTTAAAAGTTTAAGCTTTAGAAGCTCCTTGCATAGCTTAACATAAGTGCTTCATATCAAGAAAGTTTAAAGTTTATGTTTAAATCACTGTAGTAACTACTTTTAAAGTCCCACAATAATTGTTAATTAATTGCTCATATTCACCATATTGTTTTGGAGATTTAAGGTTTTTGTATAGGCTAATCTTATGTTTAGGCTTTCTTTTGGCTACATTTTCTTTAGCAAATCTCTTCACCCTTAAACTATAGGTTAGTATATTAAGCATACATGCTTAAAAGAATAAAAGATCTCTTTAAATTCTATATTTAAAAAAATCATCTATTACACATGTTCATTCTTCCCAAATCTAATTTAGAGGTTGATTCTTAATTATCCAACAACCTCAACATGATTTGACAATATAAAGACAAGTCACACAACAAATTTCTATTATTTCTTTTAAATATTACATTTTTAAAGATAATTCTTTGTAATTTGCCCTTAATAAATTCTCTATATCCCGATCCTCATTCTTTGGTAGTATAAACAAAGTTTAACTCACGATGTTGACTTCTTTGGATCCTCAATGTGATTACAAAGTGTTAAAATGAGACACCGAACCACTAAATTGAGGTATGAGTATTCCTTGGAGAGACTTTCTCAATCCACATTTCACACCCCTGTTGCTGAAGCATTCTGGTACAAAACAACCATAGTTTATTAATTTCTTTAAATATTATTTATTTTTTTGTTCAAATATATGTTTTCGTTTCCTTCCTTTTTTCGCAACAAACTGCGCCCTTTTACGTGTTTTTGCCATTGCTGCGACCTCAAGCCATAGTAGACATTGGCTTATGGTTGCGAGGGTCTCTGGCTTCACCAAGTTCGGGTGAATGTGTTCGGTAAATGGACACTGTTTCGGAAACATGGCAATCCTTTTGTTTGTTGGATGTTAAACCTTCTCTGCATCTCGGTCTCATCTTTGCCGCATGCTCTGCAGCCCTTTCGATGCGCAGCTCCTCAATCTGACGTTTGTGCGCTCGTGTGACAGCGAGAAGTCGACTGAACAGTAGATGGCTGATAGATTGTCTTTCTGGGTATGCATACTTTTGGGTGTGCCAACATTGTATGCTACTGTTGACTTGATATCCCCAATGTGATGGAAGATGTCAGATTCGGTAGCGTTTCGATTAATCAGCTGGTGATCGTATAACAATTGATTGAAGTGTGATTTCATGGCTGCAGAGGTTGTTGCATTAACTTCAGAATTCCTGCATTGGAGATTTTGGGTTATGTATCATTTCTCTTTGATGAAGCTCTCAGAATTACGAGAATCACGACAATGCTTTGTAAGATTTTGAAACCTAAGAATTCTTGTTTCTTATTAACTCTCACTTCTTTCTGTCCCGGAACAGATAATTACTTTCATTACAGAGGCGACCCTACTATTGAGTTACTTCCCTGTAGTCTGCCCAAGTAAATGTTTTGCAGCATTCATACTGCTAGAAGAATGTGTATGCATACCAGGGATTGTAATGTGTCTTAAGGTGCATTTTCATGAGCACCGAGCATTTGTTTCTGGAATGTGCAGGAAGAGTATCTGAAGAGGTCACTCGACCATCTTGAGAAACACTGGCACTTTAGGTCAAGTTCGTGAGGCACGATGAGGGATGCCGTTACTAAGGGGAAGGAGATGGGTGCACGGTATGCTGGCTCACAGGATCTCGTGCGTGTGTTCAACCGTGCCCTTGAGCTTCTAAGCAGCAATGCTCTGGAGAGTGATCAAGAGCTTCTGGAGCTTGTGAAGAAATCAAAGCGCGAAGTGGAAAAAGAACCATCCGCTCCTCCTATTAAAAAACCACGTGCGACTCCACTTTCATATTCCCACAGAAGCCTTTGCATCCCTCTTTCCCTGTTTTCGCCTTAAGTTGGATTTCATTTCATGAATCGTTCATATTATATCTCTTTGTGCTCCTTTCCCCGTCTTCCTCTACTCTTGCCAGTGCTAGAAAAGTCATGAAGTAATGGGTGGATCAATGATCTTCAGCGACAAAAAGATAAAATAATGATTCAGTCATAAAGTTGGAATCTTAGCAAAGCCACGTTAGACTTGGCTTTTGCTGTGATCCTAGGGCAGGGCAATCACCTAATGAGGACAAGACTGTTGTCCTTTAACGTCGCAGCACATTTTGTGCTCGCTGTCATTTTCCACACCTTGGTTCATGAGTTTCTGTGAAGCCTATAAGTACGTAGATGATACTTTCATCTCTATCGAAAAAAGAAAAAACAAACAAAAACAAATAAAAATAAAAATAAAAATACGGGGACTACAAGTGCAGTAGATTAAGAATATAAACTGCTTCTAAGAGGGATGAAAATTCTTAGCAACGTTGAAGTTGTGCAGGTCGAGGAGCTTCAGAGGTTGGTGACTTCCAGGCCTTGGGGCATCGCTCCAACTTGGCCATATTCACTGGTGACCATGTAAGAAAATTCTCGTCTCCCACATTTCCTTATTCCCAGACTCTCTGCCTAGTTTGCAATTGGTATTGATTGCCATACGAATCAAATTGGACTCCAGGTTTATGCGACTCTTCCTTGGTAAATTCTTGTGAAGTGTGTTATGAGTCCTGATTGCCAGAGAATTGATAAACTTGCACTGATTCCAACAAACTGGATGCCTTTTGCAGGGAAGCGGGCAGTCCGGGTCTGGAAGCGAAGGCACGCCTGCGCAATCCACATCCGGAACCAGTGCTACCGTGGCGCATGTGCAGGTTCGCCCAATTCAAGTAATACGGCATCCTGGACGGGGAGGTGGAAGAGGCGAAAAACAGAAGCGGAGTAAGGGTACTAGGTAGGATTGCTTTATATAAAAAACAGTAGGAGTTTCCTATTTTGTGTGCTTCCTGGTGGATGTTCTGAAACCTGCTTCTGGCTCATCAATAGAGATGCTCAACTTGTAGATAACATTTCGCTGCATTGTGCGGTTAAAACCTCAAAAATGCTCATGAAGACTGCAAGTCTCGACGATACAAATATCGGTTTTTACAAATGGCATTCTACTTCTTAAATTATCCACTCAAGGTGTTTCAAACAATGTCAATTTCGAAGGAAACTTTCCAGACGCTAACTATCAGTTTGAGACCTTCGAATTGAAAATTCAGATCACAATGGACTACACGGACGCTATAAAAAAATGTTTCGAAAATAGACACCACACTGCGTATTCCTACTCTCTATCCGTACATCATGTTCTTAATTCTACTCACTGTTGGTTTTCAGTGTACGCCATGAAGCAGTTGGTCATTTGGTGCACGTTATCTCTTAGCTTTCACTCTACGCATCATCAGCGGTAACAATTATGTGATAAATGCTGGACGCGTGGTCAATTCGCATCCTCATACCTCAAAAGTTTGCTCCCCTCCGTTTATGGTGCTACACTGTGGGTATTGTGTTGCTTTTCGTTTGTTTCACTGCTACTATGGTGAGTGCCGATGAGAGCAGGAGGAAGACAAGATTCTCAGTGTTTGAAAATGGTTTGCCTCCCAAGGCTCTAAACAACGTCCCTCTTTAGGTGAGTTTTTCAAGCAAAACACACGGCAGTGTAGCAATCAACCTCTGCGGCGACTCGTAACACATGAACACTGTTGTTTGACACATGTGTGTGCTGAGGTTGGAGTTGGCTCCTAAGCCGGCACGTGTCAGTAGTCCTCTCTCAGAAGTTTAAATGTTACAAAAGTGCAACGCATTCAACTTTTCGGGGTTTTGGATGTTGTAGTGCCTCTTACACCAGTTCGACCAAAGCAGTCCCTGACCTCCTGGGCTGTCATTCCTCAATAGTAATTTTGCTAGTTCAGCACTTCGAACCGATTTACAGCAAGGGTTAGTACTTTAACTTCCAAATTGGCTACAATTCCTGTCGTGCGCAACTTATATGTCAAACATGTTGTTTGACTCTTGCTGTTCTCGGCAAGCTCGTAAGGATCATTGCTCTCGTATTTGGAGGCATTGACTGCGCTGCTAAAAAAAACAGCTTGCTTCTGCATGAGAAAACAAAGCTGACTCGAGCACGACTACGAAATCCACGGCACTGGTAAGCTTGCTGGTCAACTGTTGCTAGTGGCATTCTCCAATTTTGAGAAACTCAGGATGTGATTCGGAAGGTAGTAGCGTCCAGTTCAGTGGGTTTCTGAGCTGAACTTTAGATTTTGAGTGTGTCTTCATCTTGAAATTCGGTTTGAATTCTTTTCCACTCCTATATATTGCAATGCTGCAAAAAAATATCAATGCTTCTTTGATCTGTGTTCAATCTCCATGGTGGGCTACCTTACCTAATTCCTCAAAACAAGATCACTCCAAGATTGCCATCCATTGTAAGGAATAGTTTTTGACAAGCAACAAGTTTCATTGATAAAATTTGATTGATAAAGCCACACAAGCATGTGAATTATTGAATAGTAATCACAATAGTGGGCTATTTTTTTTGTGTTTTTTATTGAAAAAAAAAAAAAAAAAAAATAGAAGTCACAACACTTAGCATCAACAATGTTGTACCCAATAGAAGTGTGGACTAAGATGACTCTCACTTCCAACACTCTTAATTCTTTACTTATAATTAGAGTGTTTATTTATAGTCATTTTCATCCTTCTTAGCTACATCCAACTAAATCTTAAATTCTTCTTAACCTAGTTACCACCTAGAACCTCAAACACCTCAAGCACATTAGCCTATATGCCTTAGTACCTTCACAATAACCAAGAAACACACACTTTGTACTTTTACATCAAGTTTGGACCTTATACAATCTCGTGTTTTTGCATATGCAATGCAACCAAAGGTCCTCACATAGGAAATACAAGGTTGTCTTCCACTCCAAGTTTCTTGTGGTGTCATTGATGCAAGAGCACTTATTGGACACCTATTTCTTGTATACACTATATTCACCACAACTTCCATCCAAAACTCATAGCTAAGGTTTTGTACATGAAGCATGCTCCTTGCCATCTCTACAATGGTTCCATTTGCCCTTTCAGCAACACCATTTTGTTGTGGAGTATATGGAGTTGTAGTTTGTCTAGCAATTCCTTCATTCTTCAAATAAACATCAAATTACTTAGACATGTACTCACCATCCGTACACAGCACCTTGCTCTTACATTCACTTTGTTTCTCAACAAGTGCTTTAAACTCTTTAAAGCTCCAAAAGCATTCACTCTTGGCTTTAAGAATGTAGATCCAAATCTTTTTTCAATAATCATGAATGAAAGTGAAAAAATACCTTGATCCTCCAATACTACTTGTGTTCTTCATAGGGTGTCCATATCCTTCAAAGAGAAGCAACTGCTGCTACTAGGAGAGTACTTCAAGGAAACCAAGAGGATGGTCAAAATGACTTTCTTGGATTCAGCCCGGATCAAGTACCTGGGCAATTTAGGATGGCAAGCCCTTCTTCTCAAAATCACCTTCTTCAATTTCTCCGCCACACCATATACCTATGTCAGGTCCGTCCTACCTCTAAGCTGGCTCGCTGCCTAACGCCCCCCAGCGGGCTCTACCCCTCTCTTACCTCCTCTATCACTCACCCAACTCTCACTACCCTGCCCGATTCTCCCAACGCTTATCTTGTCTTTTCACGTCTAGCAGAGTAGTGCATGACAACGGTGTCCTCATCATCGACTCCAACAAGGTAATCCTCGACGTCACCGGCCTTCCGGATCAGTTCCGCAACCTAGACCTCAGGCTCTCTCTCCACGGTGAGTTGCGAGTGTTCCCTCCCAGCACCATCTCCGATGAATGGGACTTCAAAGGATGGGTTAACCTGGGCGTGGCTGTGAATCTCCCTCCGCCGCTGTCGCTGATCCTGGAGGGGTTAGTGACGAGCGTGGGCAACGAAGTGGTGGACTGCATCCTCGGCGCCATGGAGGCCGCGGTCCTTCAGGGCATCATCGACGACTACGACGCCTGGTCCGCCGCACGCAGCCCCATCGCGTCTTTGTCGTGACCGCGGCTCGCGGCCATAGGCATCCTGCCCTGGAAATTGGATGACAATTGCATATTTCTCATCCTTATTAACGGATGAAAGATAATTCATCCGGGGTGAAACCCATACCGGGTCTGTAGCAGTATTCTCTTTCCTGTTCGTGGAGTTTTAGTTAATTGTCGTTATTCACTACGCTCCATTTAATTTAATTTGGTTTTTTTAGTGCACTTAATTCGGTGAAATCTACAGAACCTGGTTTGCCTCATATATCAAACCATGGCCATTCTTGTAAGTCTGTATTGTGAGAATAATCGTTACTTTTGCATGAATCCACACCAGAAATGAATGAATAGTTTACTAACATAATTGTTTGTATTTTTAAATTTTGGGAATATAAAAATTATTAATAGATGGTTTTTAAAAACTAAATTTTAAAAAAATATTTTGGTTTAAATTTTAACATTGTCACATTTATTTGCCACAGAGAATATTTGAAAATCTTTGGATGTAGTTATGTTTTCAAGGACCACAAAATTAAATGAATTGACATTATTGTTATCAAAGAATGAAGATATAATTTATAATTGAAATCATTGTTTATGATAATCATAAATCCTCATCTTTGGATTCATTAGCAAGAATGTAAATCATTTAAAGTATGGGCACAATACAAATGAGACTATATCTACAATAGTATGAATGACACATATAGAAATAAATAATCAAATATAAATATAGTGTTATGCCCTTAAGGATATGGTGTTTCATAATTAGAGTTATAAACATAAGAAATGTCAAGACAAAAAAACATGAAAATTGACATTGTTTTCTATAAAAGATGATTTATGTAACTATTTAGTTGAAATATGATGAAATCAGTTGCAATAACTCACTAAATGTTTGATTAAATTCATAAAAAATTAAAAGTGGTGATATATTGTTTCCATCTATCTCATAGTTTATCCTGGTAATTTCACGCACTCTTGTTTTAAGTCTTTTATTAGTATTATGATTCTTCTTGTATCCATCATCAATCACTTCTTGATGTGTATGTTGTTTCATAGACATGTTCAATGAAATTGATGCTAACTATTAAAAATACATTATGTAAAGTTCAAATCTCGCTTATTTCTTCCCATTAGAAGGTTGACAGAGTTAACCCAAATGTCAAGCTGAATGCTACACTGTGTTCTAATCCAATGCTTTTACATTTCGGAATGATTCTCTATCTTTCCATCGGTGATGCCTACTCGCACGTTTACAGACCCGAGACAGGTTGTGAGAGCCTTCCCCTTCGCAAATCAATCACTGTTTATCTCTTGAGAATAGAACCACATTTTCCCTCATAATACAAGAAAACCCAACCATGCTTGCGACAACTACGTGATACAGCTCCATTATGTCATAACAATAGAAATAATGCAGAAACAAGTAAACCACAAGTTGCCCATGTCAAGTAAACAATAACAATCACAGGTCCACTGATTACAGAAGAATTTTGCTAGAGAAGAGAAGATCTGGAACATAAATCGTAAAGCTCTTCGAATCAGTTTATCATGTTGCAAAATAGCAGATTTTATCCATTGGATTAGAGTTTTGATATTTTCTCTATGCCAACAGGAAATGGCACACACTAAAGTCACAAACATTTCACATCCCCAGGCCTACGCCTTCCAAACGAAAGGGACCTCCACTACATGAAACTATCTTCGAGGTAGACTTGGTTGCATCAAAGACTGCCTTTTCCCAGAAGAGTTGACTAGACAGTTTAAAGCAAACTATGGACGGAGATGACAAGTATGGTCCTGCAAGTCTAGCTGTAGTAAGCAGTGGAGCACAGCTCGTTCGCCCTCGCAGATATATTAACAGATAAAAACACCGTGTCTCAGAAATTTAATCTTGAGAATCCTCTCAAAGCTCCACCAAGGGATCGGATCAAGAAACATCCAGAAAAATAATCACTGGTCGAGATAACGGCTGACTGCGTTTTGGAGGTACTTGATGCCTGCGTTCATAGCACGTGAAGAAACTACCCCCACTCAAGGCAGAATAAACCGCACAGAAGACAGTCGGTACAAGTGACAATAAGGTACCCAAACAAAATAAGGTGCAACCTTCCCGTCATGAATGTGGGTGCGCCAACAGCTTCACCCACGAATAATCAGTCATGCTCAGCTTCAAAGTCACATTAGCAGGGTCACTTTCTGCAAACCAAAAAACGGCCGTGTCGACAGTCAGGACTAACATTTCCTTTCAATGGAGTCGAAAGTACGAATGCACACCACAACCGCAAAACGAGTGAACCACAGACCTGTACCCAGGGTATATTTAGTGCACCTGTAGCCGAGTACAGAAGTTGACACATGGAAGATGTGGTCTACAACGTCGACATGTAACTAGACCTCGAATAACGGTTTACTGTCCTAAGAGCACAAGCTAAATAAAAATAGAGGAGTTTGAATAAGAGCTATAAAACTCTGGAGGAAATATTTGACGGATTCTTGTGAATATTCTGCGACAAGGATTAAGTACTCACGTTTAGAAATTGATCGCTGTTATCAGTTCACAAAATGATGCAGCCGCAGTCCTGCACTTACAAGTCCCAAAAGAAACTTAAAAAGAATACAAGTTCAAGCACGATTCAAGACAAGCCCTGACCACTGCATTATTCTCCAACAGAACCTGCCAGCAAATACAGTCAAGATTTATGGCACGAATGTAACAGTAAAGTGGACAAAGTGCAAAGCCCTTCACATAAACAGCAATGTGGTTTTGTGGATTACTCGATGACAACTGATCGAACATTTAAAACAGATACCCATACTTACCGGTTGACTGCTTTGCTTTTTGTCTCTCGATCCATTAGACTGATTGTGCTTGTCATAGCTCTTCTCATGAGAAGACAGCTGCTCGGTATTCAACTTCGGAATATGCACCGGGCCACCCTCTTTCTTCTCATTCGAAAGCTTCTGAAAGATCATGGTGAAACCATCTCCAGCATTTGGATCTTTCACATCCCAAGCTCCGAATGCCGGCAATGCTCCCCCTTTGGTTGGCTACCCACGCACTCAAAGTCCAACGCATAAGTGATTTACTACAAATGTGAAGATATGTCTCGGTAACAAAAATTTGATAATATAGCAGTCATTTGTCCAGATTTTGACGACGTACTTCTACCAAGGGCAACCTCTTACCGGCTCCTCACGTGGTCCGGCTGGCCTCATACGAGGCTTGGGAGCACCTGAACCTAACAAAGAACCTTCATCCCCTCCAGAAGGCTGTCGACCTCTTCGCTCCCAAGTGGGTGAGGCAGCTCCGCGTCGATTTTCGCGTGCACCCACCCTATTTGCATGAGGATGTGCAGGTGAGCGGTCAGTATGATGACTGGAGCCATCTCGATCAGTATGGTTTGAACCATCCCTATCAGGACGCGTCGGGGGACCTTCAGCTCCTCCACGAGCTGCAACTACAACATAGAAGAATGAGGAGTAGGATAGTAAAAATAGAATGGCCAAAAATAACACCACAATCCTCGACATTCTACTTCTGAATACAATATATAACTCTTTCAGTACCATGCATGACTAAAATTTACTTCTCGTGCATATAATGCATTTATACGAGAGTGGACAATCCTCGAGATGAACGATTGCATAAAATTTAACTGAGAAGAATTTCCTAACTGAGATGCGAAAGTACTTAAGACATCTGGTTTCAATGAATCACATAGTAGTCTATAATCTAGATACTTGCAATGTGGACACTAGACATCTCCAAATGTCGAATTGTTTTCGTCTATAGTTATTTTAAACCTCTCAATACAGGCTCGACATCACCTTAAGGTCCAGGCAAATCTCCCAGTACCCCACTAAAACGAGTACTTTAACAACACATAGCGCCTCCAGTGGAGAACGGCATCGCAGGCAGAGAGAACAAAATGATATTGAGGTAATACAATCTTAACACTCGCACTCTAAAAAGGATAGCCTCGGTGTTGAAAGAAAATCACTGAGGAAAATGTAAAAGGCTTACCGCCAACTCCACCAGGAGGTTTGCGGGCAGGTGCTTGACCAGGATATGGTGGTTGACGACTCGGAGGGTCGTTCGATCGGCGCACATCTAAATCTTCACGGCTGGAGCGCCTTTCATGTCGTGGACGATTCTCATCTATTCGATCAAAAGTATGACTAAAGTTAGAGGAAAACTTACAAAGGAGCAAAAAAATAAAGGAATTCAATCAGCATTTTGTATCTTCGATGAGTTGATGAGGACATTACCATGACCACGAGGAGGACGTTCACTATTTCGCTGAGAAGGAAGCGGGGGCATATAACCGTATAATCCAACATTTTCCGCTGGATCATTGGGATTGATAGGCTTCCCATTCTTTCCCGTGCGAGCTTGATCGAATACTGCAGTGTAAGCTGCACCGGTCCCTGCACCAAATTTTGGAACATTGGGACGCTGCACCAAAGTCAGATAAAATGCGTGAGACCAGAAACCCAGTGAACACTCTGAAGCAATTTGAGAAAAGAGTGCAAAACTCTTTCAAAACTTAGATACGCAAAATACAGGACTGCCAACAAGGCATGCATAACTCACCGCCATGAGAAGATTATATCAGTTTATTGCGCAAGATCCCTCTCTCTCCCACCTCCCTGCATAGAGCAAGATGCGGAATAACTCAACTACTGAATGATTAGGTCGAATAACACACCACGACTTACGACCGTTCAACAAAGTAGCTCTTACGAGGAAAATGCAGCAAGAGAACTCTTGCTCCATAAATGAAACTCTCTAATACTGCATGTACTAGGAATGACTCCATTATTCTTGTTTTCTCACTAATGGTCCAGTCACTGCCCTCAAATATACGAAAAAACACTAAAAAGAAATGGTGTTTTCTTTCACTCAAAGGCTCCAGCTCATATCTAATCAGAACTTTCAACAAGACACCATCAACAGGATTCTCGCAGCAATTAAGTGGCCATACACGCAAATTGGTCAGCTCTGAGTGTAATCGGAGCCACAGTACCTCACACGATCTTCACGAAACTTGTCTTCGGTATTCGTGAAGTTTAAGTTTTAGATTCAAAGTTGATCAATTACCGTATAGTTCGTCACTGAATATCACAAAAACTAGCAAAGTTGATTACACTAGACGGAAAACCCCTGCTAAAGTATAAATAAGTGCCCAGCTCCCGATCCATTTTTACACATTGTTGAAAAGCGAGCCTCCTCGAACGGCATTTCCCACAAACTAAAGGCATCATTGCTTGCGCTTGCAACAGAAAGATCTAGACGGACATACAGGACTGACCACCCACAACTGTACTCAAAACCCAACAACAAGACAGACCACGCCAGTCATTCCAACTATAACACCCCACACTGAAAGGAACCATAGTGAACCCAACACCCGCTCTCGTCGACCTCAAGATCCACAGCCTCAGATCTCGTCCCAACGCTAGAATTTCCACTTAGCATGTCCGCACAACACGTCCCAAACCACACCATTGTCATCACCAACATCCAAAAACACGCTCCTTTACTCCACAACTCAACACAGCGAGGACAAGGAGCTAAAGGAATGACTGAGAAAATCCCACGTCGGGAGCACTAAAATCACCTGGATCAAGTCAAGCGACCACTCAACCTCAGCGTCAGTCCCTGTGCACTGCGTATTCGAGACGCCGTTTCTCGGGAACAAGGCTCGAATGAGAGAGAGAGAGAGAGAGAGAGAGAGAGCGAGATCTGGAAACAGAAGAAGACGGAGGGGGAAAGAGAGAGCAGGAGAGGGGGAGAGAGGTGCGGGAAAGCAGATGTGCAGACGGGACGTAGCCTTGTAGTAGTAGCAGTGGAGGCAGAGGAGGAGGCAAAGGAGGAGGAGGGAGGAATGTAGGACCTCGTTACCTGGCAAAAGGCAGCTGCACCTTCGCAACGCCGAAGGGAGGGGGGAAGGGAAGGGAAAGCTCCAGCGATGGCGCCAGCGCTGCTGCTCCAGAAACTCTGGGTTAGCCCCCGCCACCTTCGGAAGGGAACCAACCAACCAACCAACCAAACTCCTCTCTCACGCTCTCACACTCGGTTCTTCACCCAACGACGACGAACAAACGAACGCGCGTCACGTCGGGACGACGTCCGCCAGTGCCGACGTACTTCTTCATCCTCGTCATCCGTTTCGTCGTCGTACCACTTTCCATCGCCACGTCATCACTGTGGAAACACGTTCGTTGTAGAACACATGCTGATGGCCTTTACAATCAAACGTGAAATCGCCAATTTTCACCAAATATACCTCTTTATGAAAAATTTCAGTTTTTTTTTGTTAGTGATATTCATCTAACAAAAAAGAAATGACCTTTAGAGTTGATATGATTACCTTTGGATTTGATATGAGTATAAGATTGGAACTAAAAAATCAGTAGCCATTTATTGTTAATTTAGTTTGAATATGTTAAAATAAAAATTTGAATATATATATATATATATATATATATATGGGAATGATAAAGCAACCCAAATTTTTATTAAAGCAACCCACTCTATCTTAACTATCATTGCATCCCTATTTTCAACTGTTTCTTGTTCCCAACCATTACTAGAGACAAGAATGAGGGATTGGAAATGTTGGGAATGGGGACAATGGTTGGAAATGGAAGAATGGCTAGGAATGAGGATAGGATTGAAAGGGTATAATGATGGTTTAAACATGTGGATCAATTTAGTAAAAGTTTAGGTTGATTTAACATTCCTTTATATTCATAAAAAAAAATAAAACAACTTAGATATAAGATAAAGAGACAAATATGCATTCTAATTGGCTTTGTGAAGAAAACAAGTTGAATTAAGAAAACACAAAGTTATTGGAAACTAAGTATTTATAAGATCATAGTTGTTGGAACTAAATTGTTGGAATACAATTGTTAGGACCTTAAATTCTTAGTTGACTAGAATTGCAACCCAAGTAGTACATGTTGTACTTGCCATTATGACTTATGTTGTATTCAATGGCAGACTCTACTAACACCTACTAAAGATTGGATGTATTTAATTTATTATTTTAAATCTATTTATTAATTCACAATATTATTTTTGTATATTGCTTGATATCTTTTGTTTTTGGTGCATTTGATGTTGCAGCCATCTTTTTGTGCTAGATTGCAAGCACATGTTTAATAGTTTGATATGACCTTAATAGGTTTTGTTAAGAAGGCTACTATACCTGATACCCCTACAAAAGTGAGTACTTCTGCTTTATATTTTTTACAAATTGTTGTATTCTTTTTCTTCTATTCATTATATAGCTTTTTAAAATCTCATGTCTTCAGCAATAGAAGACCTTAAAAAGCTTGAACAACCTCAAGGTAGCTTTGGTGGCCTATGCATTCTCTTCGAGATTGATACAGTTGTGGATTCTTTAGTTTTTTTCAATACTATATAGAAATCTCATGATAACCTTCTTACCATTGCATTTGGCCATTTAGTCATCATCATGGTTTATTTTTAATTTCTACTCATCTAATCATTATTTGTATGATCTTTTTTTAATTTTAATCTTAATTTTTACTTTGATATGTGTTCATTGCTTTAGTTTGTAGTATTTTGGTTTTATTGCAGAGTAGTAGTACAATGAAATCAACTAGTTGATGCTTTTTAAATATTAATTTGTTTGAATTCTCTTGTATTTTGGTTGTTGTATTTTTATTTTTATTTTTTTGGATTTATTTTTGTTTTTTTTTTGTTTTGTTTTATATGTATTGATTTTATTATATTAGAAAAGTGCAATCTACAAGTTTGTAACAATGTTCTTTTATTATATTTTTTAAGAATCATTATAAGTTGGTAATTACATTAGATTTATATGTGTATGCTATTATAAATTTATATAATATTCAAATTAGTTATACTAGTTGATATAGTCATATTACTAAAAAGTCCATTTTTTTTCATAAAACCATTTACAAAGATAATCCAATATTAATCTCTTTTAGTTCATTATTGCAATGATCATCAATTCCTAAATGTACTAAAGTGAGCTTCAATATCTAAATGCCACAATTTTTGGTGTAGAAGTTTAGGTGGTGATTTAAGTGCATACTTAAGGTTATTTCTTATTGTATTTTAGATTGATTTATATTAGATCTCATGTTATTTGTAAAATATGATTTTATATTTTGATCAATACTAAAGTTTGACTTAACATATGCTTAAAAGTGAATTTCAACTTTTTTAGAAGAATATATCAAATTAAATTGCATTCATTGGAATAGTCGATATTAAGTGATGTATATTCAAGAACATTCTTCTAGAGCTCTTAATGCTATTTGAGGTTTTGAGTATAAACTATTGTTCTGCATTATGAACTTTTTTCTAAAGTAACTATGATTGTATGTGTGTCTTTCTTGCCATAATTGTTTTAGTTGTATGTCAAGTATTTTGGCCTTACTAGATAATCTAAGCATGTGACTTTATGTACTTTGAAGGAAGCACTTAGAGACAAACTTTTTGTTTGAATCAGAGTTACTAGCAAATTATCAATATGAACAAATTATCTCAAACCTATAAAAGAATATTGAATATAGAAAGCCTTCACATAATATTGCAAAATTCCAATGTGTCACATGCAAAGACTTCGTCAATCATGGGTTGTATAGGTTCATAGCCATGCTTGTACTTAGACTTAAAAATGTGTGCTGCAATATAACTAAACTATGTTGTAGTTATAATATGAGCAGATATTTTGGCTTGCTTTTTTTTAATATGTGCTTGATGTAAGATGAGATTTTCATGCTCCTAAAATGTTTTATCAATTAAATAAATTGTAATTTATTGAGGTTGTTGTGTGTAAGGAATACAAAGAAACAATGGTGTTTGTTGTAATATAAGATTTGGATTTTCATCAAAAGATTATAATACTATTGATTTCTTAGGTATTGTTAATGTACTAAAGAAAAACCATTAATACATGAAGAAATAGGCATTGCATGAATTAAACTGCAAAGAAATCCATCCTTGACAATAAGAAGAATAAAAAAGTGATATTATAAATATTTTCTCTTTGGTATAGGTTGGAGGTATAAAAATATTTTATATATAAAAAATTCTTATTAGAATGCAAGTTTAATGGTTGGTTTCAATTGAGCAACATAACAAGTATTGAAAGCAATACATTGTCATATTATGTAAAGTCGCACTTGAGAATGTGCCATGTACTTGATTGTGGAAGGTTAAAAAAAAATTACAACAATAAATCTTAACAACTTTAATAGAATCTTATATAAATTTTAATTAAAGCTTAAAAAACAAAAAAAAACATTGATCAAGTCTAATTAAAATTTTAAATAAATTATAAATAAATATAAATAAATCCTAATTAAATCCTAATTAAATTTTAATCAAACTTTAGACAAATCCTAGAAAAATCCTAATCAAATCTTTAAAAAATCCTAAAAAAATCTTAGATGAATCCTAATCAAGTTCTAAACAAATCTTAATCAAATTTTATGCAAATCCTAATTAAATCCTGAACAAATTCTTGACAAAATCCTAATCAAATCCTATGGCAAATTGAAACCTCTATAATTAATAATCCAATTATTGATTTCAACTCAAATTTTTTATTCCTCCCAAAAACTAAGCTGGCAAGAAATAAAAATATTTTTAAAAAGATTAAACTTATCAAATAAAAGATAAATCTTAAAATCTACTATGGTATTGATCGGCAACTTTTTCCAATCTTGATATTGATCTCTTTGAATGAAAATTTCTTTATTCTACTATAAAATACTTCTCAAAACTCACTTATATATTGGAAATCAAGTCTACTACCTATATACATAAATTTCACTTCAATCAAATTAATAAATTGCTTAAGATCTTTGAAATCTCTAATGACCTTCAAAATCCTATTTTTGAAACTTTAACCTACTTAAACTTCAATAACCTTTAATCTAACCATTTGATCATGCTCAAATTTACATCACACAATCAAAACAACTATAATCACAAATTCACAAATTTTCACCTATAGATGTGCTATCAAATTCAAAAAATTCTTTCAAATAAACCTTTTTTTTATTTCTTAAAATTAGATTCACCAAAAATAATCCTAAATTTGCAAAGCTCTTACAAAATTATCAAAAATTCAAATTTCCTGAAATAAATACTTAAAAAAATCCTATAAAGTCTTTTTTCAAATATTTTTCTTTGATTTGTAAAAAAAACCTTGAAATTGCTATAGATATGTGGTTTTGTATCTCAAGGTTTGATTTTGACTCTGGTTGACAACTAGTTCTTTTGGATATCAATTCTTATTTTCTTGAAGTAGTTTTTGCTAAAATCAACTTCTAAATTTCTTGTACATATGCATATATTCTTTATTTATGGCCTTACTAAGTGAATAGAAGTCCACTTTGTAAAAAAGCAGCATTTTTATTTTTAATTTTATTGCCTTTTGACTATTATCTATATTTCTAAGATAATTTTCTATAATATTTTGAAATAATTTTTTTATAATATAATATTTTCTTTATTCTATTATTTATTAGCCATGCTATATCATGACAATGTACAAATTGTTAATAAGGACAATGTGTAAAATACACCTTAAGGGACACATAGTTACTTCATCTAAAGAAAAATAGTAACAATTATCAAGAGTGGATTAGTTACAATTATCAAGTGCAAAATAGTCACAATTTTCCATTATAATGCCTTTTAAGATTTTTCATATAAAAGATATAAGCTAAGAATTCTTGATCATGTATGAATACATGCCAAATTTAAGCCTCTACTTGCACTTATATGGTCACTTTGACTCTACTTTGGCTTAGTATAATTGTGTCAGTAGGAGATAAGCTAGAAATTTGTTGTTGATAAGAGATTTTGGTTATTTTCTTTTCTCATGTCTAGATTATAATTAAATAACTTC